CAGATTTGCAAAAAGGGTACATAGTATCTTCACTACATCTAATGACCCCAATGTTGTGTAACAAACCTGTTGTTTTAACCCTACCTTTCCAAAGCTAACCAACCAAAGAATTGTGCTTTTGGTGGAGCTGCATTTTGCCACATCTGCTTAGCTACTTTTAGCCTAGGTCCACATTTGGCTTCACACCAATTCCTAACTGATGCAACAGAAAAAAGACCTGAAGAAGTAGCCTCCCAAGACAAGTTATCAGGGTTATTTAATCTAAGATATGGTACATTTGACAGCCAGCCTTGTAATCTAGCAACCTCATCCTCTTTGCAAGCTAGAAGAGTCCTAAAATTAAACACCCAACCCTCAGATCTCTATCTTCTTTGAACAAAATCCTTCAAGGCTTCTTCCTTATCCATAGATAAGCTATACAGCCTACGAAATTCTTCCTTAATTTGAATGTTCATATGCCACCTGTCAAACCAGAAAGAAGTTCTACAACCATCCCCAATCCTTATCTTTATATTACTTACATAAAAATCATGAAGGGAAGAGTTAGACCTCACTACTTGCAATATGTCACTCCATATCCTGAATACCTTCCTCTCTTGTTCAGAATTCCAATCAGGTAACCATCTTCCCCCTTGTGATCCATACTTGCTAATTACCACTTGTTTCTACAAAGCTTTGTCATCCACCCAATACCTCTACCACCATTTCAATAACAAAGCCTCATTTACTTCCCTAATTCTCCTAATGCCCAACCTTCCTTGCTCTTTTGACATTGACACATCCCCTCATTTAACCATATGCATCTTTCTCTTTAGATCTAAACCCCCTCCAAAGAGAAGAAGCGTGCAACCTATTAATCACCTTGGCCACTCCTTTTGGAATTAAAAATAAAGACAGATAATAACATGGTCAATTTGACAATACCGAAGTTATCAAAGTCAGGCTACCAGCAAAAGACAAAAGTTTTCTCTTCCATGATGCCAACTTGAACTTGATCTTATCAACCATTGATTTCCTAGTCCTCCTGCTTCTCAGGCTAGCACCAAGAGGAAAACCTAAATACTTTAGAGGTAGTTTTTTACTTGAACAATTCAAAACAAAGGCAAACTCTTGGATCTTCTCATCAGACACTTCCATTAACCTCTAGTGAATCCACCAGCTTTTTGGTGAATCTTTTGTTAGCCATTAGATGGAAAAACCTTGTGTTTTTATCTCCATTTAATGTTCATTCCAATCTTGACTTCTGCAACTATACCCTCTCCTTCCCTCCCATCTCTCTCTCTCTCTCTCTCTCTCTCTCTCTCTCTCTCTCTCTAATTCCAAACCAAACTTCTAACCTCCCTTCTCCTTGACACCTGCTGTGGTAGTAATTCTCTTGATTCAATCCTCAAATCAAAATCATGTAATTCATCATCTGCCATCTTAAGCTGGTGACCCTTTCATTTTTTTAGATCACTCTTCATAGAGTGCAGTTTCCTCACAAATCTATATGCAACCCAGCCATCAATCTTTGAGTTTCCCAAGATTTTTGTACTGTTTTAAGGAAACTAGGATGTAGGGTCCAAGCATTCAAGAATCTAAATAGTCTAGGACCCCAATTCCTATCATCCTCCCCAAGTAATATAGGGCAATGATCTGATACATCCCTAGGCAAACCCCACAATGGAAACTTAAACTTCTCCAGCCACTAGGATCAAATAAGAATCTATCAATCCTACTCCACGTCTCCCCATCAAGTGAATTGCACCATGTAAAGCTTCTCCCTACTGTTGGTAAATCATCCAATTCCATTTTTTTCAATTAAGTTACCAAACTTTCTCATCCCCTTATCTCTTCCATATAGTCCTCTTCTCTCGGATAAATGCCTGATTTCATTAAAAATCCCCTCCAACACACTAAGGTTTTTCAAAATCATTTTTAATCCTTACAAGTGTATCCCACAACTTACCTCTACTATCAACATCATTGGGTGCGTAAATGTTTAAAATCACACACTCAAAAAGATCAGAAGTCATACCTAAGAGCACTATGAAATGCTTGCCGCAGCAACACTCTTAGCACCTTGAAAACTTCAGGGTTCCAAATACACAATCAGCCCCTAGCACTCCCTATATATAGTGAATATATATATCATATTCACTGACGCATTCTAAGATCTGTTTTTATGCAAGTATCTTCTTTTATGGATAAATTTGTTACCAATCTCCATGTTGAGTCTCAGCTAACATGGACTGACGATATTTCTCCCTGGCCTAGCTAGTTTACCCAGCCTAATTATAAAACATGTTCATCCATGTTTCTTTCAATAGAATTATGATTATGAAATCCAAACAAAATAGCTCGTGTTTTTTTGCTAATAATAAAATAATAATAAAATCCCAACAAAAATAAATAAATAAAATACCCTGCAAGTGTATATCCCACATAATTAGCACACCTAGCCTCCAAAATCATACAAATTCTATCTCATCAGCAAGTTCAAGAAGCAAGATAGAGTAATATGACATTACTACCGCACATATTCACTCACACACACACACACACACATATATATATCATTTCTTATACAACTATAGGTAGCTGAATAGTTTTGCAATTTATTTTTTTATTTTTTTGCTTTTTAACTTATTGGAAGAAGCAAAGTTTGCCATTGACTGTAGGAGGGTAATCCAGCATACTCCAATCTCAGCAACTTGAACTCGATCATATATAACTACACACCAAAATATTGATGGAGTCAAAGTAAAACAAAATATACAAAAAAATTATTGGAAGATGCATGGAGATTTTATAATTACAAAAAGCATTTTGAATTTAATCATTTAAGAAAACAAAATTCAAAAAATTTTAATTTTAAAATGGACTTTTAGATTTTGCATTTGAGAAGTGATTTGTGAAGAATAAAATAAAAATTCAAGTAATTTCTCTTATTGAATTAATATGTACAGGTACCTTTTGATTAGTTTTCTTTTTCCGAAAATTTTTAATAAAGGGACTCAAATCTTAACAATATGTTTGGATTTTGAATTTTGAGGTATCTATTATTTTTTACTATATGTTCAGATTTATTGTCAAGGAGTTTTTTTTTTTTTTTTTATTAAGGGAGAGGACTAGAATTTATCATGTTATATCTTGTGTTATGTGTTTTGTTTTTTTGTTTTTTGTTTTTTACTTTATTTTATGATTGGAATGATTAAATTTCTACACAGCATATTTATCAAGAGAAAAAGAAAAACAAAAGATTAAATAAATTTAGTTTATTTTACTTCATTTTCTTCTTATTTTTTTTTTCTTTTTTTTTATTATTTGAATCCACAATCCCTCCACAAATTCATGATTTTTTAGCATAGCCTACAGTAACAGAGTTAACTTGAACTCAAGTTGCACCAAGGTAGCAAAGAGTGTCCTAATGGGAAAAAGATTTGTTGGCTGCCAATGATTCTATCAATTGCCCATCTAGATATATATAAATATACAATAAAAAGTTGTTAGTGTCAGGAATTTAGCAATATTATAATAGGGTATTTGGTACAGATTATTTGAGTTATTTACAATATATATATTTTTTATTTTAAAATGTGTTAGATTATTTAGTGAACCTTTTATTTATATATTACATAACCGAAATAATTTAAATAAACTAAAAACAAAAGAAGACTATTTAGGAGATGGAGGAGGTGGTGTTTTTCTTTTATTATTATTATCAATTTTTAGCTTATTACCCATCCAAAAAAAACTTTTAGCTTACTAGCTGCACCAAACATGCCGAATAAAAAGAGCTTCTACAATACACATTCCTATTTTGGAGTGCACCACATGCAAGTTAAGATATTGTTTGTGATTTTAATATAAACTTTTAGTCATAAGCAGAAGGACCGTAATAAATCATAATTGAATCTCACTTTACATATAACCAATAAATTCTCCTGTTAAAGCAAAATAACAATTACAGTAAGTTATAACTAAATTATGGCTAGCATTATGAGTTATAAGCAACACCAAAATGCATTATAATCAAATATCACTTGAAGTATTATCAAAGATTTCTTCGGTTCTAACCAAAATAACATCTATAAGTGATTGTAACTATATGAGTTATAGCTAAAGACCACAAAAAGTCAGGCATATAATACATCATTTTTTAAAGTGTTATATAGAATTCCCTTATAAATATTATGAGATATGTATATATATATAATATAGGGAAATTCTATGCTTTGGTTTACACTTTTGTGTCTTTGGTTATGCCTTGTTGTGTTGTCAATTATGACACATTGTGATATTGGTTATGAAATTATTTTTGTTATGATTCAAAAGTTGTTTGGTTATACCTCATGTGATGTTTGGTTATTATTATTATTATTATTTGTTATGATTCTCATACTATTGAGTTATGTCATCTGTGATAATCAAACTCACAAATGACATAACTTGTATATGGTAGCATTACCCTATATATATATATATATATTGGACAAATTACGACAGTAGTCCTTGTACTTTACCCCCTATGTCATTTTAGTCTTTGTACTTTCAATTCGCTCGATTTTGACCCTAAATTTATGATTTTGTCTCAATTCGATCCAATTGATTACAACTTTTAGTATTTTATTTTTTTTATGAAAAATAAGCATGTACGTGTCATGTGCCATATTTTTAAGGGTAAAATTCTAAACTTATTCAACTAAGTTAGTTAACGTCAATCAATTAGTGATAATTTTCCTTAAAAAAAAACTAACAATATTAGTAATTGGACAAATTAAAATAAAATCTAAAATTAGGAATTAAAATTGAGTTAATCGAAAGTGTAGAGACCAAAATGACACAAGAAGTAAAATATAGGGGCCACCATCGTAATTTGCCTTCTTTTTTTCTTTTTTTTTCTTTTTAAAAGAAGGATCAACTTATTATATTCAACTGATAAATCATAACTGGACATATGATACATTTTTTTAAACATGTTTATTATAAAATTTTCCTATAAATATTATGAAATTTATACATATATATTAATAATAAAGGATGATCAACTTACTTTACTCATATAGCCATCCAAGGTAGGAGAACTGTTCTTCATCGCCGTGGTAATCATTTTCATCCACGGTTGCGTATTCCTAAAAGAAAAGAAAGTAAAATACATATAATCAAAAAATACATGTGAAGCACTCTAGTTGAGTAGTCTCTTGTAAATATTCAAAGATAAAAGAGTTCATCAAATGAAAAAAATAGTTAACCGTAAATCACGTTGAGAAAGAAAGGCTACCTCTCCTTTCAGAAGTCGTTCCTCTAAATACTTATTGAGATCTTTTATGTGAAGGCCTTCATTGCCACGTGTACTTACAAATATCTGTGACATGCGTACTTGTCCAAAAGAAAAGTTGTGCATCTTCGGACACCTCTTCAAAACAACTCTCTGTAATGATGGTAAATTAAAATTATAGTTTGCATCACAGAAACTGTTGAGGTTTGGTAGATCTTTCAGTATTAGCCACTCCAACTTTGGGAATTCAATCACATCATCAATCACTTCCTTGAGCCCATCCTCTGTTGCTGCAATAACTTCTTTCATCACCTGACAAGACTACAAATAAAGTACTTTAAGTTGTTCAAGAGCCATGGCGGTGGAACATGTGAATAGATTTCTCAAGAGGGAACATTTCTTAATTGTTAGGTATTGTAGGGTTTGAAGGCGCAAAATTCCATGGGGATCCTTGTTCCACAAACATGTCAACTGAGGTAATCCATCCAATTCCATCATTCTTACTTCAATTAATGGCCTAACATGTTGTCCTTCTCCAACATTTAGCCCCCCAAGTTGAAAAACCTCTGCCACCTCACTACAATTTCTCACAATTAATTTGTCCAAATTCGCTACGTCCAGGAATTTTAAACTTATTTTTCCAGCTTGAACATTCCAAGGATGTATCTCTCTTGAGTTTACACAATTATCGAGAAATAGTGTCTCCAACTTTGGAAAAGAAACCTGCAAAGATTCATTTTGTCATCCTATTTAATAACAAAATAAAGTAGGCTTGTATATTGGAATTCAACGTCAGTGATGATTGATGAGACAGGTTTCTAATATTGATGAGCCAAAATTTTATTTTATGTATTGATTATGAATTTAAGTAAAGATTTTTTTTTAAAAATGTAAAAGTAGTGTCAACAAAATATAATTTTTTTTTTCTTTTATTTCCCTTTGTCTTTCCAAATTTCTATCTAAATTTATAATCCAAATGTTAAAAATAAATATATACATATATAGATATGTTTATTAAAAATGATAAATCATGTAAATAATGATTAGCAAGTGACACACACAATATATGTGCCATTCCTCTAAGTAAGAATAAAAATAAATAATAAAGAAATTAATATTATAATATGTATGTTGCCTAAGTGGTAAGATTGTTCTTAATGAAACTCAAAGTTTTGGGATCAAACTTTGATCACGCCTTTGAATTAAAAAAATTTATTTTAGGCTAGACAAAACTGCCACATAGCATGACGTGAAGGCTTGACTAAACAAATCAAAAAATGAGATACAAATATCTCGTAAAAGGTTGGTCTCGCATATATTTGGAGGTGTAAATCCTTATTATTTTTAATTTTCTAACATAATATATGAAATTTTCTAAATTTTGGGGGGTGTGGTCTCCTCTCTCCACATGCCCTAGATCCACCCTTGGGATCTCACCCCTTGTAAGATATCTATATTTCATTATGTATTTAGTTTTTGGAGTATTGTTGCTTTATTCCATTTATAGATTAACACTTAACCTTTTGTTTCCTAGAAGATTGAATAATTTCTCTTAGTTTTTGTGTTCTTGACAATGATATAGCAACATTGGACCCTAATAAATATAGCACTAAAGTAGAGAAGATTGAGCTTTAAGCTGTTATTGATTAATTGCTAGTAACAACTCAAACCAGCATGCATAATCCATCAATTAATGTAGTCTTAAAATTGGATCAATGGTCGGGATTGAACTTCCAAGAAGTTTCCAAAGATGTTTTGGGCATGGGCAAGTAACATTTTCGTAATGGTGAAGTTATGGGAGTTGATCTGTGACCTCCTATAATAGGGATTGCTCAATATTTTTGAGGTTTTAGAAGAAATTATAATAGTGATTTTTCCATATTCAAATATTCCAACTAGGAATCATGTAGAAATTGTTATCATTAGCCTAAAACCCAAGAGGCATAATTCCAAAGGAAGGCAGTTTAGGATTGATGATCGGGAAATTGCAATCTAAATTTAAAGTGGTTATAAGGGAATAATTTTGGATTGTGAAACAGAATAAAATAATATCAGTCAAAACCAAAAAAACAAAATATGATATCCAATATTTAAATATTTTTTTAATGAACGCCACAACAAGGTTAAGCAAATTACAATTTTCGACATAATTTTAGTCAAATAAAAGTGTTAAATTTGGAATTCATACATATTTTTGTTTGGGTGATATTGTAATTTCCATCGTAGGCCCCTGGCATATCCACCTTGAAATTATTTTACTTTTATTTGGATTTGGATAGAAAGAGAATATTCAAATAAGCTTCAAATTTAAAATTGTATTTGAAAAGGAATTTTATTTTTATTTTTTTTGTGCGCGGTTTCCCATGGCCAAGGTTAATAAAATAAATTAGGAAAATCAAACCTTGTGGTTGAACAACGGTTTTACTTCAGATCCTGTAGGCCAGCTGTAAAAACTGGTGGTTCCTTCTTCTTTTCCTTTCTCCGAGACTATCGCTTCCATCTTTGGACAATGATCTACGTTGAATGTTTCCAGATTTTGCAGTCGTGAGAGCATATTGAACTGAACCACATGTACCAATTTCTCACAATTAGAAACGTTCATATATTTCAGTTGGTAGAAGGACTTTGATTCTTTTTCTGAGGCTATGACTAATTGCTTGTCCCATATCTCTATTATGTTAGGCAATTCCAAAATTTCCAAATCCTCCAGAACGGGGAAAGCAACCTGCAAAGTAATTTACAATGCATGTAGTTAGTGACTGTTACAAAATTGTGGATAAGCAACAATTGAAAATTGCAACAGTTTCCAAATGCATGCTTTAATCATGTATGAGCGGAAATGAAAAGCCATAGACAAGCAAATTGATAATTGCATATCGTCGTATTCTTTTGAAACATTTATGGTATTGCGTAATTATTAACTAAGCACCTTTTTGTCATCAACTCATCACATTGTTTTCCATCTTTCACCATTATTTTTCTATTTGCCTTTAATAATTTGTGTTCCATAATCTTATTAGTTATTTTTTAAATAAGGCAAATTGTCACGACCCCATTCTACCCCTAGTAGAATGGTGCCGTGATGGCCAGTAATCCGAGATTACCAAAGGCCAACTTACAAAGTATCACACGGAATCAAAGTATACATATGGGGCTTACATGTGCGGAAGCAATATATTTAAATCTAAGTAGTCCACAAGAGCTGTGCATAGATCAAATGAAATGACATATATCTTAACATAGTTTACAACTTGGATACAAATAAAATAAAGTACAAATATTACATCTAGATTAAAAGGCTTCTCAAGCCGACATATACAAAAGACATGAGATACAAAGCCAAGAAGCATAATCTTCAAGACACTAGCAAAAGTACGAACCCAAAACATCATGCAAAACACATCTAGGCGTCACCGCCTTCTTGCTCGTCACCTACATATATATAAAGGGGAGGGTGAGCTTGGATACTCAGTGAATGATATTAGAAATAAAGGTTTGCATGAATGATATTCAAGATCTTTGCCAAAACAATACATAGCATAACTTGTACCAAAATCAATGGATGAACCAAGTTCATCTATCAAATCTTTCAAAGCTTCAAGGGATGCTTACTACCATCAATATAATACAAGGGATGACATTCTTGACAAAACCCACGCGGAAAACCGTCAGTGGCAAAACAAGGGAATAATCAACCCAGAATCAATTAGACAAACCCACCCGCACAAGGTCGTCGGTGGCAAGGGAGATATCTCAACAAGGGTACTAGTTGCATTATAGTCCCCTAGCACTAAAGACTTCCAAAACAAGGGTACTAGTTGCATTATAGTCCCCTAGCACTAAGGACTTTCCAAGAATGTCATCAAAACAAGATAGTACTTGATACGAAACTAGGAATAATCATTCATACTTGAACAAACACTTTTCCAAAACGAAACAAACAAAGCTTTTATCAAAACGTTAGAACATAGCTTTATTAAAAATACCACTCACATAGTTCTTCGGGTGTAGGGATTAAAGCAAGGATCCAAGACCTACAAACATATAATAATTCCCATTGAATGTACTTCAAGAAGACAAGAAGAGATGCTCCCAGATGGATATGAAATGCAAATGATCTCGACATTCTTTCAAAACTAAGTTGAACCAAAACAAAACACTGTTTCTCATCTCAGGAAAACAGGCGGTACCAACCAGGTCTTGGCCGAGGTGGGTTCTCAATGACCACATTCAAGAAAGTGAAGTCGGGAAAATCTGGGTTTCCCTTCAAAGAACATGAAGAACACGAACATAAAGAAGATGAATGCAAAGATCATAACTTCTTATTACAAAATCTGAGATTTCATGATATGAGTTCAAAAACATGGACCTGGGTACCCATACTTGGAGATTTTGTGAAAACAAACACAAAGACATGGATCTTGATATAAACTTTTGGATCAAAACATGGTTTTATTTCAAGAACACAAGAACATCATTTTCTCTTTCTAAAACAAACTTTAAATCAATGCATGGCTTGTAAATCATCTCGATTATGCAATGCGATTAGATGAACGTAAAGAACAACACGAGCAAATCAAGAATCTAATCTCAAAACACGGATCAAACGGTTTAAACTCTAAGGATCAAGCTTGAAATCTAGCTCTCTCACTCTAAAACTTTTTCTTCTTCCTAGAGCTTCTCTCTCTAAAAGACAAGGATATGATACAAAATGATATGCTCTCTCAGTTGGTTCCTGACTTAACCCTCTGTTGGGACACGTGGCAGCGCCGGATTGGATCTCCTCAAAAAGGTGACTAAAAGACAAGACCAAAGTTATGACAAAGTGTGTACAACAAGTAAGATGACATGGGCACTCTGACAAGACAAAGATCTCGGGTTAAGGCATCGGCTCCGGCAAGTAGGTTGCAATGATCTCGGCCAGGAAGGATAACGCATGGCCCAAATGTGTCACACCTTGGCCTAGATGTGCCACACCTCGGCCTAGGTCATACCAGTCCCGGAACAAGATCACTAGGTGCAAGGATCGGAGGTCTAGAACGCCTAGGTGGTAACATCTCGGCCTAGAACACATCTCGGCCAAGATGCCAGGGTGAGAGTGGAGGTCAACCGAAGTGGTTCCAAGATAGTCTGAGGTGTAAGAGGTTCAAAGGTGTGACCTAGGCTTAAGATGACCTCAGCTACACACACCAAGCAAGGAACAAGACTTACAAGCAAAATCACTTAAGTACAAAACAAGACAAGGAGCTTTACTCTAGGTAAAACAAGTCAAAATCCACTAATGCAAGCTTAACAAAACAAGATCATGCAGATGCACATGCACATGGCTAAGACGAGGATGAGGGTCGCTACACAAATTATGCTATAGATCAGATTATTAGATCTATGAAAAAGAAGAAAATTTTATTTTCAAAATTCACCACAGTGCCTTGATAATTTTTCATTTAATTTAATATTCATTTTCTTAGCATATCAATTTAAGTTAAGATGCTAAAGCAAATCAAATTATTGGATCTTGATTTATATTCGGCTCAATAAAAAAAATTCAAGAATGACTTATTATATAAATAAGTTAAAATTGAACACATTTTGAAATTCGCTGATTTTTTTACTTCAGTTTGAACTCAGTTCTACAAACTTAAATGGTTAGTAAAATACCAAGTTGCTTGAACTCCATTCGATTCCAACTCTTTTGGGTTCGGTTGAAATGGTAAAGAAAACAAACTTATGTATATTTTAGTCAAATAAAATCATATTAAGATTCATATTCAAAATAAAAATATTGTGTATTAGAATTCATACATATTTTTGTTTGGCTAATATTGTAATTTCCATTGTAGACCCCTAGCATATCCACCTTGCAATTATTTTACTTTTATTTGGATTTGGATAGAAAGAGAATATTCAAATAAGCTTCAAATTTAAAATTGTAATGGAAAAAGATTTTTTTTTTTTTGTGTGCATGCTTTCCCATGGCAAGGGTTAATAAAATAAAGAACAAAAATCAAACCTGGTGGTTGAATAATGGTTGTGCTTCAGATCTTGTAGGCCCGTTGTAGAAACTTTTAAGGCTCACCAACTTAGACAGATTAAGAGTTGTTAATTGAGAGAACACGATGATATCATTCCTGGTGGTTCCCTCTTCTTTTTCTTTCTCTGAGACTATAGCTTCCATCCTTGGACAATTATCAACGTTGAATTTTTTGAGATTTTGCAGTTGTGGGAGCATATTGAATTGGACCACATGTACCAATTTCTCACAATTAGAAACCTTATAGCGATCCCGGGTTTACCCTTGTTGTATAGTGATCCGGACATGTGTCCGTGGATGTTGGTAGTTGGTTACTATCGTGTTTACATTCCTTTTACTTCATATTTGAGTTATAGGATGTGTTGGGCAGGTTTGTTACAGGTTGGTTGTGTTTGGGAACCAAGTGTTGCTGCCCAGAATTTTGGGCCTTCGCTCGAGCGAGGAGTGGTCGCTCGAGCGAGCGTTGAGTTCGCATCTGGTTCTGGACCTGAGAGTTGCCTGTCTTGGCTCGAGCGAGCTTCCTTGGCTCGAGCGGTCTGGGTTTTTCTTCGCTCGATCGAGAACTTCTTGGCTCGAGCGAGGTTTTCTGTGTCTGGTCGCTCGAGCGACGAAGGCTTCGCTCGAGCGAGCGTGATCGTTAAGGGATACGAGCGACCAATCCTTCGCTCGAGCGAGGGGGTTTTATATCAGCGGGCAGTAGCGTTTTTGAACATCACTTTTTCACTTTCTTCTTTTGATCAAACCCTAGATCCCCGAGACCCTCTCACTCTAAACTTACACTCTCTCTAAGATTTCATCTCCCTAGGGTGTGAATCTAGCCTAGGGCCTTTGTTAAAAAGATAGAGGGCGTTGAGGGCTTCGATTTAATCTGAAAAAGTTTGGATTTGGAGCAAGTTGATCTTGGAGTCTTCATCTCCTTTTTGGCTTAAACTTCAAGGTAGGGATATCCTACTCCTTTCTATGGGTTTTGTCTTTAAATTTTGGTATTTTGAGATGTTGGGCTTGGTTTGGTAATTTTGTGAAAGTTTGGGGCTTTTGTGTAATTTAACAAAAGTTGGGGTTTTATTCATAATAAACCTAGATGCATGTTTGGCATAGAAAAATGAAATGATTGTTGAATCATTGATAGAAATGGGACCTAAGGGTTGAAATGTTAATTATGGGAATTGACCTAATTACACTGTTTAAATAATTGGGATAATTAATTGAAAGGAATGAAGAAATGAAATGTTGATTGAATATCCATTGTGCATTTATTTTCTGTTTAGAAATAACTGCTTTGGGCTATCGGTGGAGGATAGTCGTGATTGTTGTAGACAATGCATGATGATTAGGCAAACCGAAACTAATCAATGGAATGTGTCATGGAACTTGACGGTTGATAGAATACATTAACTACATGTATTGAGTGATTGTATATAGAACCAATGTGTTTATATACGTTATGTGTAGAGGAGGAGATAGGGGATGTACTCCGCGGTTTAGGGGAAGATAGGGGATGTACCTCTAAACCAGATAGGTATTTGGAGGAGATAGGGGATGTACTCCGTAGACAGAGCTCATATGCTTGTCTAGAGAAGTGAAGATAGAGCTTATATGCTTATCTTGGTAAAGTGTGGATACAGCTCATAGGCTTATCTGTGAATGTGAGATATTGTTGTTATATACATATCTGTTGGGAAATGTGGATATAGCTTATATGCTTATCTGAATGTGAGATATAGTTTTATTACTTATCTGTTGAAAAAGGGAAAATGAAAGGTAACTTAGACTCATAAGTTGTATGACATAAATATGTGAATGTATCAGTGATGACCATCTATCAATTGCTAATATTTTAGTCATTGTCCATGGTTGGTTTAGTGTATTTCTACTGGGCTGTGGCTCACCCTATATGGGAACATCATTTTCAGGTACAGGAAGCATGCCACCTCCAAGGACATAGCTTGGGAGGCTAGAGGCGGACATGGTTTTGTCGGTTTATGTTTGATGTATTACATGTAACTTCAAGCCAAGGGCTTAATGTGTAACGAGTTAGTACTCTTTGTTGTAACCAAGTGTTAACTTGGAAAGCTGTAAGCCCGTAAGGCATTTTGTTTTGACGTAAACATGTAATGCGTATGTAATAGACTCTGATGAATAAAAGAATGTGGTTAGTTTATATATCAATGCATGTTTTATTTGATGAGTTTAATGTTATTATTTTGAGGGCGTCACAAACCTTCATATCTTTCAACTGGCAAAAGGACTTTGATTCTTTTTCTGAGGCTATGAGTAATTGCTTGTCCCATATCTCTATTATGTTAGGCAATTTCTGTATTTCCAAACCCTCCAAGATGGGAAAAACAACCTGTAATGTAATTTACAACACATGTAGCTAGTGACTGTCACAAAATTGCGGATGAGCAACAACTTGTAATTGCAACAGTTTACAAACACATGCTTTAAACGTGAATGAGCGGAAATGAGAAGCATTAGGCAGGCAAATTGATAATTTCATATCGCCATATTCATTTGAAATTTATTATATTGCTTAATTATTAACTAAGCACCTTTTTGATTTCAGCTCTTCACATTATTATCCATCTTTCATAATTATTTTTCTATTTGACTTTAATAATTTGTGTTCCATAATCTTATTAGTTATTTTTTAGATAAGGCAAATTATGTTATAGACTTGAGTATTGGACTTATGAAAAAGAAGAAAATTTTATTTTAAAAATTCACCACGATGCCTTGATAATTTTTTATTTTGATAATTTCCTATTTAATTTAATATTCATTTTCTTGGCATATCTATTTAAGTTAAGATGGCAAAACAAATGTAATTATTTGAACCCGATTTATATTCAGCTCAATAAAAAACAATTCAAGAATGACTTAATATATAAATAAGCTAAAATTTAAAACATTTTGAAATTCGCCAATTTTTTGAGTTCAATTCGAACTCAGTTCTATAAACTTAAATAGGCAATAAAATACCAAGTTGCGTCAACTCCATTCGATTAAGACTCGTTTGGGTTCAGTTGAAATGATAAATAAGACAAACATATGTATATTTTAGTCAAATAAAATCATATTAAGATTCATATTCAAAATAGAAATATCGTGTATTAGAATTCATACATATTTTTGTTCGGCTAATATTGTAATTTCCATCGTAGACCCCTAGCATAAATTGATAATTTCATATCGCCATATTCATTTGAAATATTTATTCTATTGCTTAATTATTAACTAAACACCTTTTTGATTTCAACTCTTCGCATTATTTTCCAGCTTTCATAATTATTTTTCTATTTGACTTTAATAATTTGTGTTCCATAATCTTATTAGTTATTTTTTAGATAAGGCAAATTATGTTGTAGATTTCAGTATTGGACTTATGAAAAAGAAGAAAATTTTATTTTAAAAATTCACCACGGTGCCTTGATAATTTTTTATTTTGATAATTTCCTATTTAATTTAATATTCATTTTCTTGGCATATCTATTTAAGTTAAGATGGCAAAACAAACGTAATTATTTGAACCCGATTTATATTCGGCTCAATAAAAAACAATTCAAGAATGACTTAATATATAAATAAGTTAAAATTTAACACATTTTGAAATTCGCCAATTTTTTGAGTTCAGTTCGAACTCTGCTCTATAAACTTAAATGGGAAATAAAATACCAAGTTGCTTCAACTCCATTCGATTAAGACTCATTTGGGTTCGGTTGAAATGATAAATAAGACAAACATACGTATATTTTAGTCAAATAAAATCATATTAAGATTCATATTCAAAATAAAAATGTGGTGTATTAGAATTCATACATATTTTTGTTTGGCGAATATTGTAATTTCCGTCATAGACCCCTAGCATATCCACCTTGCAATTATTTTACTTTTATTTGGATTTGGATAGAAAGAGAATACTCAAATAAGCTTCAAATTTAAAATTGTAACGGAAAATGAATTTTAATTTTTTTTTTCTGCGCACGCTTTCCCATGGCAAGGGTTAATAAAATAAAAAAGGAAAATCAAACCTGGTGGTTGAATAATGGTTGTGCTTCAGACCTCTTAGGCCCGTTGTAGAAACTTTTAAGGCTCACCAACTCAGAAAGATTAAGAGTTGTTAATTGAGAGAACACGATGATATCATTCCTGGTGGTTCCCTCTTCTTTTTCTTTCTCCGAAACTATCGCTTCCATCCTTGGACAATTATAAACGTTGACTTTTTTGAGATTTTGCAGTCGTGGGAGCATATTGAATTGGACCACATGTACCAATTTCTCACAATTAGAAACCTTCATATCTTTCAGCTGGCAGAAGGACTTTGATTCTTTTTCTGAGGCTATGAGTAATTGCTTGTCCCATATCTCTATTATGTTAGGCAATTTCTGAATTTCCAAATCCTCCAAGACGAGAAAAGCAACCTGTAAAGAAATTTACAACGCATGTAGCTAGTGACTGTCACAAAATTGCAGATGAGCAACAACTTGTAAGTGCAACAGTTTACAAACACATGCTTTAAAGTGTATGAGCGGAAATGAGAAGCATTAGGCAGGCAAATTGATAATTTCATTTCGCCATATTCTTTTGAAATATTTATTCTATTGCTTAATTATTAACTAAGCATCTTTTTTATTTCAGCTCTTCACATTATTTTCCATCTTTCATAATTATTTTTCGATTTGACTTTAATAATTTGTGTTCCATAATCTTATTTGTTATTTTTTAGATAAGGCAAATTATGTTGTAGATTTGAGTATTGGATTTATTAAAAAGAGGAAAAAAAAATTAAAAAAATTCACAGTGGTGCCTTGATGATTTTTTCTTTTGATAATTTCATATTTAATTTAATATTCATTTTCTTGGCATATCTATTTAAGTGAAGATGGTAAAACAAATCAAATTATTTGAACTCGATTTATATTCGGTTCAAAAAAAAAAACAATTAAAGAATGACTTATTATACAAATAAGTTAAAATTGAACACATTTTGAAATTCGCCAATTTTTTTAGTTCAATTCAAACTCGGTTCTATAAACTTAAATGGGCAGTAAAATACCAAATTGCTCGAACTCCATTCGATTAAAACTCGTCCGGGTTCAGTTGAAATGATAAAGAAGACAAACATATGTATATTTTAGCAAAATAAAATCATCTTAAGATTCATATTCAAAATAAAAATATGTTGTATTAGAATTCATACATATTTTTGTTTGGCTAATGTTGCAATTTCCATCGTAGAGCATCTCCAATGCACTAGGCATATAATACTTGTTAGTTAAAATGCCTAGTGTGATTCACTTTTTTCAATTCCAATGCACTAGGCATATGATTAGGCATTTTGCCTCAACTCATATTCACTAGCTACATGTAGCTAGCCTTCAATGCTAGGCAAAATGTATTCAATCATTAGGATCATTTCCCTCCATCTTTGTTGTTGACGTGGCATTCTATAAAATTAATAGTATTTGGATAAATAGCTAAAATAAAGAGCATGGTTGGAGTAAAAACATAAAACAGTCGATAGGCAAAATAAAATATATACTTTATAGTAATATTTAGATAGGTAAAATGCCTACTACCACCTTGCAATTATTTTACTTTTATTTGGATTTGGATAGAAAGAGAATATTCAAATAAGCTTCAAATTTAAAATTGTAATGGAAAATGAATTTTTATTTTTATTTTTTGCACACGCTTTCCCATGGCAAGGGTTAATAAAATAAAAAAGGAAAATCAAACCTGGTGGTTGAATAATGGTCGTGCTTCAGATCTTGTAGGCCCGTTGTAGAAACTTTTAAGGCTCACCAACTCAGAAAGATTAAGAGTTGTTAATTGAGAAAACACAATGATATCATTCCTGGTGGTTCCTTCTTCTTTTTCTTTCTCCGAGACTATAGCTTCCATTCTTGGACAATTATCAACGTTGAATTTTTTGAGATTTTGCAGTCGTGGGAGGATATTGAATTGGACCACATGTACCAATTTCTCACATTTAGAAACCTCCATATTTTTCAGCTGGCAGAAGGACTTTGATTCTTTTTCTGAGGCAATGAGTAATTGCTTGTCCCATATCTCAATTATGTTAGGCAATTTCTGAATTTCCAAGTCCACCAAGACGGGAAAAGCAACCTGTAAAGTAATTTATGACACATGTTGCTAGTGACTGTCACAAAATTGCAGATGAGCAACAACTTGTAATTGCAACAGATTACAAACACATGCTTTAAACGTGTATGAGTGGAAATGAGAAGCATTAGGCAGGCAAATTGATAATTTCATATCGCCATATTCTTCTGAAATATTTATTCTATTGCTTAATTATTAACTAAGCACCTTTTTGATTTCAGCTCTTCCCATTATTTTCCATTTTTCATAATTATTTTTCTATATGACTTTAATAATTTGTGTTCCATAATCTTATTAGTTATTTTTTAGATAAGGCAAATTATGTTGTAGATTTGAGTATTGGACTTATGAAAAAGAAGAAAATTTTATTTTAAAAATTCACCACGATGCCTTGATAATTTTGTCTTTTGATAATTTCATATTTAATTTAATATTCATTTTCTTGGCATATCTATTTAAGTGAAGATGGTAAAACAAATCAAATTATTTGAACTCGATTTATATTCGGCTCAGTTAAAAAACAAATTCAAGAATGACTTATTATATAAATAAGTTAAAACTGAATACATTTTGAAATTCGCTGATTTTTTGAGTTCAGTTCGAACTCAGTTCTTTAAACTTAAATGGGCAGTAAAATACCAAGTTGGTCGAACTCCATTCGATTAAAACACATCAGGGTTCGGTGGAAATGATAAAGAAAACAAACATATGTATATTTTAGTCAAATAAAATCATGTTAAGATTCATAGTCAAAATAAAAATATGTTGTATTAGAATTCATACATATTTTTGTTTGGCTAATATTGTAATTTCCATCGTAGACCCCTAGTATATCCATCTTGCAATTATTTTACTTTTATTTGAATTTGGATAGAAAGAGAATATTCAAATAAGCTTCAAATTTAAAATTATAATGGAAAATAAATTTTTATTTTTATTTTCTGCACACGCTTTCCCATGGCAAGGGTTAATAAAATAAAAAAGGAAAATCAAACCTGGTGGTTGAATAATGGTTGTGCTTCAGATCTTGTAGGCCCGTTGTAGAAACTTTTAAGGCTCACCAACTTAGACAGATTAAGAGTTGTTAATTGAGAGAACACGATGATATCATTCCTGGTGGTTCCCTCTTCTTTTTCTTTCTCTATAACTACAGCTTCCATTCTTGGACAATTATCAACGTTGAATTTTTTGAGATTTTGCAGTCGTGGGAG